AAGGTCGTCGTATTTTTAGTTAGGCCAATGTTTAGTTGGCCACGTTCGTTCTCGTCGGAGATAGAGGGACCTTGAATTTCGCGGATAACATCTGTAGCCTTATCGACGTGGTCTCCAATCCTCCTCTCCCTCCCCTCCTCTCTCCCCCCCCCCCCCCCCCCTCTCTCTCTGTCTCTCTTTTTCCCTGCTCCACAGTCCCTGACGATAAACTTTTTCAGTACTAACCTAGTATAAGCCAGCCGTTCAAATATTAATCGACAATGCGTGGCCGCACCTGAATTTACACAATCGATCGACCGACCAACCGATCGGCTGATTGTCACAAATTTGCCAAAGTTTTCTTCCCTCCCCAAAGATAGATACTAGCAAAGAAGGATATACGCAATCTCTCTGACGTAAAAAAATGCGTTAGCCAGCGTGCCACGGTTTCTCATGACGACTGCTCGGCGAACATTCTTACCAGCTGAGACTTGGCCGAAACCGTGAAAAGCCTACGCGCACATACGCCATATACACACGCATACGCGCGCGATCGATCGGATATATTTCTTATTCTTTTCCTAACAGACGCGTGGTTTCTCGACGCACATTTACACACAACACGCGCGCGCGCACGCGCGCATTCAATACGGCGGCTGTCGAAATCCGCTTGTGGAAGGTCACGCACGCTCAAGTACATCGTTCTTCGTTCCCGTAATTATTCACCATTAGCGGAGAGGGCGACTCCTGTATCACCTTAAACGATGTAATCGCGCCGTTACGTCGACGTAAGCAGCCAGCTCCGTCTCTCGACACACGTCGCTAGTGCGATGATTCTCGATACAGATCGTTATAGGTACTCTCGTTCCTCGTCTAATGTTTTGTAGTAGTTAAAATTTGTAATATGATAACGCTTGGCATCCTAATTCTCTCTCGTGCCTCTTTTTCCACTGTTCGTTTAATTAAACGTTATAGATAATTTCATTGTTAACCCTCCGGAGTTGACGATGGGGTCTATTGAATCCATTCAATTATGTCCCTGCAGAGGAATTGATGGTGGTCTATTAGACCTATTCAATTATACTCTTTCATGTTATAGGTATATGTTGCATCTATAAATTTGAATTATTGTTATTAAAAAAAACTTAGTATTTACACACACACACACGCGCAAACACACATCTTTTTCATACACTGGAAAGAGTCTGGTTGCATTCATTGGAATTCTCTCTGGTTGAAAATGGAAAAATTAAAATTTTCTGGTTGATCTATTATATATAATTCTATAATTCTAGTTGAGATAACCAGAATCTGACCGCTATGATTAGAATCTTCTGGTTTGTTCATTTTCAACTAAAAATTTTTCCCAACGTAGTTACGCCATTTTGGTTTCTTCAAATTAATGAATACCTTTTAATCGATATAAATTAAGTAGGTCTTAAGCCCGATCTACATAAGACATAGAACGCGGGTCGCAAGTCAAAACTAGAAACTAATCTAACGTATATTTTAATTATAATAGATTGTAGAATGCAGAACGCAAAACGCAGGAAGTTGGGTAAAGTTCAACTTTCTTACGTATTGCGATCTACGACCTACAATCTGAAATACGTTTCACCTGCGATTTGCGTTTTGTGTCTATGTAGATCGGGCTTTACTATCGACTTACTATCGACAAAGTTACAAAATTTAACGTCAGCTCCGGATGGTTAAGAGTACATCGCTTTGCAAGTACAGAAAAAAGAAAATGATTAGACCTATCACATCCTCTTTTATATGTATATGAAAGATCAGGGAAAATACCGAAAATTAAAGTTGCGAGACATAATTTCCGGCGCATTATCGAGCGCAGTCATAGTATATTCCTTTTTTTGAATCATGGTTATTAAAAAAACTTAGATTCAAACACACAAACACACATCTTTTTCATACACTGGAAAGAGTCTGGTTGTATTCATTGGAATTCTCTCTGGTTGAAAATGAACAAATTAAAATTTTCTGGTTGATCTATTATAATTCTATAATTCTAGTTGAGAAAACCAGAATCTGATTGCTATGATTAGAATCTACTGGTCCGTTCATTTTCAACCAGAAAATTTTCCCAATGTAGTTACGCCATTTTGGTTCCTTCAAATTAATGAAGACCTTTTAGTCAATATAAATTAAATAGGTCTTAAGCCCGATCTACATAAGACGTAGAACGCGGATCGCAGATCAAAACTAAAAACTAATCTAACGTATATTTTAATTATAATAGATTGTAGAATGCAGAATGCAAGACGCAGGAAGTTGAACTTCAACTTTCGCGTCCTACGTATTATCGCGCGATCTGCGACCTACTACAATCTGAAATACGTTTCACTTGCGACCTGCGACCTATGTTTTGTGTCTTATGTAAATCGGGCTTAACAGACTTGATGTCAACAACGTTAGAAAATTTAATGTCAGCTCCGGATGGTTAAGAGTATATCGTTTTGCAAGTACAGAAAAAAGAAAATGGTTAGACCTATCACATCCTCTTTTACAATATATATATACGAAAGATCAGGGAAAATACCCGAAAATCAAAGTTGCGAGACATAATTTCCGGCGCATTATCAATCGCAGTCATAGTGTATTCCTTTTTTTCTCTCTTTTCTTTCCTTCGTACCTACGAACGTGATAAACGTCACGGCATCGTATCGACGATATCATGCCGCGTATATTGATTTTATATTGCAAAACGTTAACATGAGGAGGACAGACAACGTTAACAACACATCGATACGCAGCCCAACCCGTTCAATCGAGCGATACAAGCACTTCAACGATCGATTATCGAGAAATCAGCAACACTTATGTCAACGACACTCAAAGCATCGGCGCTGATCATTCAACACCTGATCGGGAAACTGGCAGATGCGATACGTATACACAAACGCCGAAGGCGCGTCGTCGCGAGTCGTTGATCCCCTTTCTTTTAGATCCGACGATGCACCCTCTCGGGGTGACGATCTCGCGGGCGCGGCACGAATATTGCACAGTGATGCCAAACTCTGGTACATTTGATTCCATTTCTTTTTACACCAATTGCGTTCGCGTATACATCATTGTGCTGATGGTAATAACGGCGGTTCGATGTTGGAGCGAATGTATCTGCTGCGGCCAGCGTGAATTTTTCGCGCGAGTCGATAAAATTGTCGTTAGCTCAAAGGCCTCGCTCTGCCCACGTAACTACGCTCTTCATTCAATTACCTCGATTACAGAGAAAAAATGAAAAAAAATTAGCAGGCGTACAAGGTGTCTCGGGAAGAAATTTCTCTGAGTGAACAACTGAATTTTTTACAACATGTATGATTCTTAGATACCTCGTACAATGTAAATTGCTTTTGTAGGAAAACTTTTTAGCAAGTATGATAGTTTCGATATGTATCTGGAAAACGTATTTCTCTCAAAGTCACGATTAAAAATTAGCCATTCAAAAAAAGCTTCTATCATAGTAACAACAATACGAAAACGCGATGTGTCAATGATAGTAATATAACTGATGTATTCTTGATGTAGGTGTTCTACTCTATTCAGATGATCGTAACTTTTGGCCCTATATTACAAATATTTTATTTGAAATGATCTGAATAATACATTATTAAATTCTGCATATTTATCCCGGAAAACCTTACACTAATATCGCTCCCTTACTTCAAAAGTGATAAGAAATTAGGTTTAGAGAGAAAAAGAAATTATTTTTCAGCACTTGATAAAACATTATTTATTAATGAAATAGTATCGGCGAAAAGAACATGTATATTCTAATATAATCAAATGTCATTTTTATCAGTTCTGTTTCACAAACCTTAAAAAAATAACGTTTTTCGTGTTGTGATTATTTTGATGATATTTTTTTGTAAATCACCTTTTTGAGTTGTGCTATTTGACGTTTTTTTTTTTTATGAAGTTAAATTAGTTCACTTTTGATGATTGATAGAGTAACATTTACCTAACTCATTCGTGGTAATAACTCGAAAATCACGTTTTTTTAGTCGTGTCACTTTTGAAGTAAGGGAAACGATTTGAAATATAAATAGATAAATATTGATATTATACATCTACATTTTTATTGAACGTATAAAATTTACAAGTAAAAGTAATTACTTTTATATAATATCTGCAAAGTACATAGATATATTTATATTAACATATCAAACGCAACGTGGTATATAACGTTTCCGATACATAACATAATAAAGCACTTGTGAAACGTGCCAGCGCGCGGATTCATCTTTTATACAGAATCTAGATAACCGTCATAACGAATTCAATCGCAATTGATATTTATGTATTTGAGCGTATCGACGTATCGGTTAACGAGCGTAAGTTACAATCGGCAAGCGTGCCTGTGTGCTAAATTTTGCAAGAACAATACGACAGGGAGAAACAGGTGAAATTCGGAGAATTACGTTTTCGAACTCGGCTGTAAGATTACGGTTACCGAGCTCTCGGGCCGTATCTCGCTCGAAGCGGCCGTGGAGCCGCGCGTGCTCCGCGTAGTATATGATTTTTTTTATGATATGCAAAATGTAGGCGATTCGTAAATGGTGCCGTATAGTAATGATGATATCGATGATTTTGGAACGCATGCCAATTAGAAAAGATTTAATAATCTTTCAAGCAGATAGTAGTGCTCTTTCACCGCAACCAGTAAACATTTTCATTCTTATAATTTGTGATTTGTGGTTAGTTTGATATAACTGCACAAAGTCCTTTTAGTTACTTTTTATTAGAGCGAACCGCTACATCGCGTACGATCGAGGTCTGTCGCGATGTATCGACTGTCAGTGGAAGAATAATAAAGTAGCGCAGAGTGCCCTTAAAAAAATCAAAAGAACGCACATTGAACGCACGTTTCTACGGGCGCGCGCGTGATAACGAGTGCCACATATATAGCGGGAGCGTGATATATATATCGATTACCTCGATTTCTCAAGCAATTCTAATGATTTCAAAAGGGCAGAGAGCTAAAAAAAAATATTCAAGTTCCTTACCTTGCGAAGTGCCCGCTAGATCCGGCGTCTGCAAGCCATGGCCCAACCCTGGAAATTTCACTATCGTCACACGTAGCAACGGCAATGCTATCGCGCGTAGAAACTCAACAATGGCCTGTACGCAATTTCGCAATTAAAAGAGAAAAAACGCGTAGTGGTGCGGCCAACAAAACTTGGCCGCGCGAAAGCGGAAGCTACGCCAAGAGTCGAAGACTCCAGTCGCACGGACGATATGCGTGCTCAAACGGTGCTCAAACAAAAAAGTGTCTACCAATCAAGCGAACGAAAACAACCGAATATATCTTTCTTAAAAGGCAAAACGAAACAAACTCAGGCGTGTTGGCAATAGTCAACATTCGATTCGAACCGTGACTTTTAATTCTACAAACGTGCACATAGTGAGAAATATCGCGATCGAACGATCACGGAGAAACCGTGTGCGCTGGAGCGACGATCAATCGCGTGTACGATCAACCCTTAAGTGCAGAATAAAACATACGTATATACGACAGGCGTAATTGCATTTTTCAAAAAATCTAGACTCGATCCCTTCTTCGCAAAGTCTACCTCAGATTGGGTAGAAAAAAAAAGATGATCCAGGATTAGTATAAATGGATAATAACAATGAATAATTGGCGCACTTAAGGGTCTCAAAGGGTAGTGAGTGCGGGCCAGAGAGGTGGGGCCGCGAATTGGTCTGTGCGTACAGGCCCGCCTTGGGGTCCGGCGTCCCTCACGTACCTGACAACGGCGTGTGATCGGTGGTGAGCGCCGCCATACTAAAGTTGAAGCTGCCGGGTGTCGAGGTGAAGAGCTTGCTCTCCGGCAGGAAGTTCTGCGCGGACGTGTGCTCCGGTTCGGGCTCGTGCTCGTTGCTGCTCGCGGACGCGGGCGGCCGGTCCGACGCCGCGGCGCCGGAATCCGACGAGTCCTCGTTGCCGGCGTTGCCGCCGCCGTTACCGCCGGTCAACTCCAACGGCTCGCACTTTATATTCTCCTCGACGAGGCTGTTCTCGTCGTGCACCCCGTTGCCCTCCACCTTCGTCGACAGGTGGTTGTTCTTGACCATCGAGAAGTCCGTGGGCGTGGCGTCGTTGTTGTTGAGCGGCGGCGACGGCACCCGCGGTCTCTTCGCCGACTCATCGTGCGGGTCCGGGGTGCGTCTCTCGTTTCGACGTATCTGGGCACGGCGCAGTAGCTGCTGCACGGTGGTCGGCGTCGGGGTCACAGGCGTAGGCGAGCCGCCACCGCCGCCGCGAGGGAAAGTCTCCTCCGACTTCTCGTGGAACGGCAGGTGATTGCCGCCGCCGGACGCCAACGCGCGGACATGCGACAGCTGGAAACAAATACGGTACGGCAATGCTATTAATTATATAGACTACGGCGTATCGCAAAAACACGCCCTGCTGCACACGCCACTCCTACTACTATACCTCGGCTATAATTACTGAGACCATCGCGATACGCGAGCCGAATTTGTCGTTTAATCAATCGATAAATCGTTCCCCCGAAAATGATAGTTCGGCTGAGTGTGCGGCCAACAAATTGAAGAGTCTCGCGACGTCGCGACGCCACATCGATATTCGATACTTTACATTTATGGTGGATATCCGATTTTCGATTTATAGCGCAAGCCGCTTTATCTCTGTTTGCTTGACCTATGACAATTACGAATTGGAATCAAGATAGACGCGCTCTATATCGAGATAATGAGGGGAAAGGGGCGCTCAAGTAATGTCTAACGGCGATAACGTGCGAGATACACTTGAGCTTTCGAGAGATATGCGCGAGTTACACGGCCAAATACGCGTGTCTGTCTGTTGTATCGCGCACGCGAGACGTGCAGACACTCACACACACACATATACACGCGTTTACACGCGGTTTTACCAAACCGTACGTAATTACAGTGTGTGTTCGATTTCAAATGTGCTACAGACACGGTCAAGAAAATTGGAACGAAGATAGAATCTTACGCCAGCTGTTGCATCTCCATTGTCACTTGTAAACGCAGCGAGCACAACGTTCTCACGTGCCTGCAGCATCAAAGTCCGAAACTCACCGGAATTACTCCGCTTTCAGTTTCCCCCCCCCCCCCATAATTGCGTTCGAAAAAAAACGTACCTCATCTCTGTCGGTTTGGTCGGTCTGTTGCGTGAGGCCCGATACCCTGAGGACCTCCGCCGTCTTCAGAAAACTACTGAGAGAACGTTGATGCACGTTCACCTCGCCATGATATATAAACTCCACTAAGGCATGCAAGTCGCTGAATGCTACATCCTGGAGCACTATCACTGGGTGTTTGCACGGTGTGCTCTGAAACGGGGCAACGTTTATTGCGCATAATCATTAGGCAATGACGAATCATTTCTTTCTAATATCCATTTCTACTGTAGATTGATTTTAATCTCGATTTAGCTCTTTATCTTCTTTCAGTTGTAAAAATTAGGAAAAGATAAAGAGTGACAAAAATGAAATCTATAGATTAAAATTAATCTATATATTGACAGAAATGGCTAAAGGTTGGATTGTTCCACCTTTCGATAGACCTTTAACTCACCGTCTTACTTTCTTACTTTTCTGTTTATCCAATAAGTAAATTACCACATAGTTTATCTGAAGATAGAACAACCGGCCCTAAGACTTTTAAATTGATTTGATTTACTTGCAAGCGAATCCGCTCCGAAATTCACGTGAATCGTGAACCGGGAGGTCTTCGCTGCCGTCAAAGGCGGGAATAAGGGAGAGGTGAGTCTTACCTTGAGCAATTCTCTGAAGTACGGACTACAGGCGGAGAGAACGACGCGATGCGCTTTCAGGCTCTTGCCGTCGCAGGCCAGCGTCACGTCCACAAAGTCCTCATCGTCCCGCAGATTTTCAAACGCCGAGGTTATGCTGCTCTGGTAATTGTTCCATCGCAGACAAAAATGTTGTGTATCTACCATCGTTGTGTCTATTCACCTGCAATTAAAAGTAACGCCTTGCTGCCACCGACTGGACGACACAACTGTCACTTAAGATCTAAACGCGATGCCCGATCGGCTGCGCCGCTTAAACTAATTGAGGATGTGGTGCGCGCGCGCGCGCTCGCATAATTAAGATTTTCGACTACAAGTCGTTCCTAGGGCACGACTCGCGCCGATAAGCTTGCAAACTGATAATTTTAGATAAGTCCAATTTCGACATTCGAAAACACAATTGCAACGTGTACACACATTCGATACTGATAGCAAATCGCAATTGCATGTGTACGACGATATTCCTGATAAACCCCGGAGATTGACTATAAAAAGAGAACGTTGAAAAAGAAAAAAAAAAGTAACACACAACGGTTAGATGCATGAGAATTTATGTTTATATTGCGTCATACATGTTAATTAATTTAACTACTATCTACTCAACTTGCGTCACTTGTTACAAGGATGAAAAAATTTGATATTCAAGTTTTTTGCGGCGTAGAAAAAAATTGAATCATCGCCGACGAAAAGTGTTTTACGATCAGCAATTGATTCGTCACAAATAAATTTATTACATAGAGCTCAGAGTTTTCTAAGACTCGAGTCGATCTTAAAAATAAAAGAGGGGAGGTGTGTCGAGATACAAACGGTGAGATGTTTTCACGCTTCTTTACTCCAAAATGTCCGCATACGTAATAATCCGAAAACTTTCTTGCGAAAGACGCGTTTATTAATCGGTCACGCGCAGCGACAATAAATTGAATTCTGTCGAAGAAATAGAGAAATGGCGTATTTGTAGATAAACTTACCGCGGCGCGCGAGGAGAGACATGCGTTTTGTTTACCCAATCGCGTAGAAAGAGGAGGTGAGGGACGGTGTGATCGCGAGAAACCTAAGAAACACCGTATGCAATTCGCCGCTTCGCCATACGGCAAAATTAGGTCGTCAAGCTGGAGCCAATTCAGTACGTTGATTAAATAATTCTCCGCTACTTATAAAAGCGGGAGCACTAAATGTGCGCTGATAGTGTTATCTTAGCGTAATGATAAAAAAAAAAGGAAAGATCTTAAAACAAATTTACAGAGCTCGTTTCTCGCGCGAGTGTGCCAGCGCGTTGAGAAAAAATGCCGAGGGACGTTTAAACGAGTTTCGCGGCGAAAGACGTTTGTTTTGACGTTTTTCTACGCACGAAGGTTTATTAGCGAAATTGGAACCGATAGCTATCGCCGCCGCTACATTTTATCGCTTTAACAAATAACAAAATCTGCATAACAGATTCGCAAATCCATTTACACCACCAAGTACCGCACGTGTGTGTTGGAACTCTGTTATAAAATTCTGAATTTCAATCGTTTACCGGTTTCGCATTTTTCCCATTGCATGGATAAAAGAAGGCAAGTGAAATGCGAGACGATTCTGCGCAAAGAAAAGTGACTCGACAAGTGAGAAACGCTTGCATCTCCTTCCCTTTAAATCGCATACCGATGTAGAAACTGTTCGCTTTGAATTTCTATATATCTAGGGTCGCCCTATCTCATTCTGCTAAATTTATGTGTGACGAATCCGTGAGATAATTTCGCCAACGTGCATTGTTTGATAACAGACAGAAAAAGGTCGTCTCTGATTCGACTGGTAGAGTAAAAAAAAAAAAAAGGAAAAAAAGTAACAACTTTCGGGCTATCGGCCACTTTCGCGCGCTCGATTGCCGGCGGTATCGCTGTTACTATTTGCACAATTTCGCGTGCGCACAGTCGGCCCACGAGATGACCGCGCGAGGGAGAGAGATTACGCGAGCGGGGAATCTGTGAGTTTTGAAAATTAGCATGTGTCACACGTTATGTATACCACACTCCCGGCAAAACGCCGGTCGGCTGCGAAAGAGATATACACACACACACACCACACACATACACACCAACCAACACGCGCGATCGATGGATCGAGATCCCTCCCAATACAATACCTTCACTAACACACATACACGACTATAAGTTGTACTCTCGTACGATGTGTATAGTTTTTAAGGCACGCTCGGCCGGCAACGGGAATCACAGTTTGCCAAGTGCGAACGCGTTATCGCGAGGTAACACCTATCAGCCGTCATGCCGCGTAAGCTAATGACCGAAACAATGAACCGAACACGACGACGATGGGGCGACGCTGCCTGCCTGCGTGCGTGCGTGCGTCGTGAATGAGTGAGTGTGTGAGTGAATGAGTGAGTGAGTGCGGGCAACCGGCGGGCTTTTGCGTGTGTTTATCTCCGGGCGAAAGGAGAAGTGAAGCATAACACTAGACACACGCGAGAAAAAAATCGTTCACGCATTCGCACGGTGGTTCCTCTCGTGTCGGGACTCGAGCTCCATCCGAAAAATCGCGATCGATCCGAACAATCCCGCCGTGACACCCGCGTGATCGACACGTACAGTTAAAATGGGATAGAGAGGAATTCTCGGCCGTGAATCCGTTGTGCCGCGAAAAAAAAAAGTGAAGCGAACGTTTTGCGCGAGCGAGCGAACGAGGGTGCGAGGATATCAGTAAATACACTTTCAAATAAATACTAAACGATTTTGTCGTTCCTTCCTTCCTGCGCGTGGATCATCCTCCTACCCCTCCGCTCCCTCTCATCGCGCGCACCAACCACCACCACCGCCCCCACGCTACCGCCGCCGCCCGAACTGTCGGCCACACCGAAAGTGATCGCGATCGAACGAGGACGGCGCAGTGCGCGCGCGAGACGGAGAGAGAGATAGGCGGAGACAGAGGCGGGACGGAGAGAACGAGAAAGATGATCGAGCGCGCCGCCGGCCGCCGGCCGCGACTTTCGCGTTTGCCGCGCGCGCGAAATCCGCCTTTCATCCGCGTACAAATAATCCGTATGTCCGCGATCGTCGCGCGCGTTTCAACACGGTTACACGGTGCGATGTAGTAAATAATAAGAAAAGATCGCGCGATCAAAGAGAGAGAGAGAGAGAGAGAGACGACCGGAGAATCACCGGTACAGCGCGGCGGTAGTGGCGGTGGCGACGACGACGAGGACGAGACGAGGACGGCGGCGACGGCGACACGCGCGGAATCTTCTGCACCTTGACTGAGGGCGCCGCGAGCGAGCAGTCACCGCAGCAGGCTCCTTCCCCGTCGCATGCCGTGTGCGAGCGAACCAACCAACCCCTAAAACGTCACGTCACGACTGTGCGACTCCGTCGCGGAGAAGGCGCCGCGCCTCCCCCCTCCCCTCGCGCCCTTCACGTCGGGGCCGGTACGTCGCGAGGCCGCACGAAAATGTACGAAAAGCCGGCGATCGTCGCCGTTATACGAGAACGGGCGCGTGCTCCTCTTCGCGAGAGGGAGGAAGCCGAGACGGAAGAAGGAACAAGTCGCGAGAGGGAGAGAAAACGCGCGTCTTGCGCCGCGCCGCGCTGCGCCGCGCCAAGTCGGGGCGCGGAGAAAATACTTCTCCGAGGATACGGAGAAAGGATAAGCGCGAAAAAGGGAGAGGGAGAGCGAAAGAGACGATTGAATGACACGCGGACCGAGAGGAAGATGGACGCAAGATTTGACGTGGAAGGCGAAAGGGGAAGGAGACTTTTTTTCATACACTTGAGGATACATCTCTAATCGATAATGTACGCTTAGAAGACGAGTGGTGCACGAGCGAGACCGAGGAGGAAAGGAAATGTAAGAATGAGAAATAGCGCGACGTGTGTAACCAATGATGACAGTCGTTCCGCGAGCGACGACGCCGCGTGTGCGATAAGATGAAGATGTGCTAGACGCGACACACAAAATGCGACAGAAACGCACGGCTGATTGAAGACGGAAAGAAAGAGGAGAACACGAGGCACCGTAATCCATTTCTTATGTTCGTCTAATCAATCGAAAAGGTCTGGCGGCTAAGGCTAATGATATGTACACAAATGCAGATTAAAATACCGAGAATTGAAATCGGCATCATTTCGGCTATGTTTTATTTACGTAAGAAAATCGAGTCCCATTATGTCGAATTTTTATCGTCGTGAGTAAACGGCAGAAGAACATTCTTGCAAATTTCTACCATTGAAGTCTAGATTTACACGAAATTATACGTTGTTTTACAAATCTTGTAAAGTACAATGAAACATTGAGAAGAAATAATTATTTGATGAAGATGTAATGATAATGGAATAGTTACTTTGTTACGAAAAAGGATCGGGATCGAAGCCATCGATTAAAGATTGTGCGTTAATCGTTTATATGTTAAATTTTACGATTAATTCAAGAACAATTAATCCAGTTTCAAAAATTCAAACTAATGGATTCGATTTGCCATGCTATAGATAAAAAAAATATATCTTTGCCATATATCTACTGACACGAATAAACAGAAAAAAAAAAACATTTTTCATCTTAGAAATACATTGATTTCCAATTCTAAAGTACATTCGAGACCGTAATTTTCAAGTAGCTCTTAGATCGCTTTATCAATCATTTTTATACGGACGATTTTTATACGACTTTCAAATTAAAGATTTACCGGGAAAAAATTCCCTCGGATGTCCAATTAGCGCGAGAAAAGGAGAAGAAATGGATTGTCACAATTCTTCAAGGCAATAAGTAACCGAGTAAAAATAACGCACGAGGTATATGAAAAATCGCGGAGCGAACGTAATTGGACAGAGGTACGATCTAAGAAATCCGAATGAGGCCGATTATCTCGCAATTTCCATGATGTGTAGAGTTGTCATTAGCGTAAACTGCTCTTATGCGAACGCGGCTCTAACGAGGCGAGATTTATTCTAGAGCGATGGTCCCGAGTTAATTACCTTGTGGGGGATCTGTCAGAGAGTCGCTCTCACGTGCGTCGCCTTCCCGGTGTCGTCTCGTCGATTTCAAACCACCATCCTCCAACTTCTGGTTCCGTCTGCGGTCTGACGGTCTTCCGGTCTTCCCTTTTCCTCCACACCGGCTGTCACTGTGTAGCACGCGGGTCGCAGTTAAATATCATCGTTTCACCGACGACGCGCGGTACCAATTGACTGAATCCCGGCGGTGCCCTCGTTATCGCCGCGCAGTTTGTCTGAAAATCATCCGTTTCTTTCTCTACGTGTTCTGCGATGATCTTATGTATGGGAGGGAGAGAGACAGAGAGAGAGAGAGAGAGAGAGAGAGAGAGAGAAACAAAGTAGCGCGCGTCCAAACCGATTTACCCCCTCATTACTGGCGGTGATGGTGATGCACACCGTGCACATGTGCGTACGCATGCATCTCCACCCTCCCTCTCGTTCAGTCGCGCGCGTGATGCACTCAACGTGCGCGCAGACATACTCTCTCTTTCTCTCAGCCAAGGCACACACACACACACATGCATACGCACCACGCGCGCGCGCACGCCACATACCCACATTCGTATATACGCGCACGTTGCCGCGATTGTCGAAAAAGCGGAACCTCATCCGGCTGTCTCTCTCTCTCTCTCTTGGCGCGAGAAGCGTAAATTGTAAGACCGAAAATCGCCGCACTCACGAAAAGAACACGCGCGAGACTCATCAAACGACCGAAAGCAGCGAAAGCGAGACAGACGTCTGCGAGCGCGGCGACTCTTTCTCACTCTCCCTCTCACTCTGTCTCTTTCCCCGTCTCTTCCGACCGCCGGCCTCGTTTCGACCGCGAAATACGAAATGTGCGACCGCGAAACGATAACGATCGAGAGACGGCACGAGTAGACGTATCCGGACTGGGATAAACCACGATGTTACCTACCACGTGTGCCAGCACCAACTTGGCGAAGGAAGGAGTGCACGTTCCGTCCTTACACCCCGCGATCGAAACAGCGATCCTCGGTGCAAGTTCGAGGTCGGATGGACGAGGGCACGATAGACATAATCACTGTCGCGACATTGCACGCGGCGGGGAACAACTGCCGATTCGCGACGGCAGTCACCGGCTCGACAGTTGAAAAGCGTGGCGGCGAATTGAAAAACGTTCAAAAAGGAGGAAAGGAAAGAAAAAGAGAGAGAAAGGGAGAGAGGGAGGGAGAGAGAGAGAGAGAGAGAGAGAGAGAGAAAGGGTGAGCAAGAGAGTGAGAAAAGAGAAGGAAAGAATGAGAGAGGGGAAACAGAGGGAACGAGGAGGAGCTGGAAGAAAAAAAGGAGAGACGTGCGTAACGTAAACCGGCGCGTTACAGTGACACCACGAGCCGACGAAGCACCAAGTACGGGCTGCTGTTCCCGAGCCTGGTTAGGACTAGCATGCGGGGGGAAGGCTCCCGCTTTGCCCGCCGTTATTCTTTATCGGAGCATGAGACATCTGTCGTAATAAGTGCGGACTAAAAAATAGTGCGTACGCAGAGAGAGAGAGCGTGAGAGTTGAAGGCGCGCGAGAACGAGAGAGCCGGCCACGGGCGCCATGGTGGGAGAGGTTGATGCTTGCGGCCGCGGCGGCTGTTTCTCTCCCCGTGTACCCCGCAATCTTGGTCTCTTCCCTCTGCCACACTCTCTTTCTTTCTTTCTCTCTCTCTCTCTCCCTCGCTCCCTCCCTCCCTCCCTCCCACCCTCTCTCTCTCTCTCCCTCCGCCGGCGCACTCTACCCCGCCGTAATCAGTTCATGAGACGAAAATGCGCGTAGCCGCCGCGAGCCGAGTCCGGCCGCGAGAGCTGTAAAAATGTTGGATGCGCTCAAAGAGCCTAAGAGAGCGAAAGAGAGGGAGAGAGAAAGATTGCGTACGCGTTCATCGTCGTGAGATCCTACACGTATCTTTTCCGAACGCTCGAAAAAGAAATGAAAAAATCTTTCTTTTATTTTATTAAGATTTATTTAATTTATTAAAATTTAATTTTGCGTCAGTCCCGAACGTCGACGTTCATTGTTCGGACGTTTTTTTCCCGGGACACCTTTCGAATTCCGTGCACGTTTCAAAGATCAATCCTCGGTTTTGATTTACGAGCGGTAAAAAGGGAAAGAGATGGATGAGATTCGCGCCTTGAATGTTATCTCGAAACATGTAGTATATCGCGCGAAAGGATCGAGACAGTTTTTCGATTCAGGGATACGAGTGCTCCGAAACAAGAGGAACGAAAGCGTAAAATGGTTCCTACATGTTTCGACTGAGATCGATAAACGGGATCCGCTCCGCCGTTTCCCCGATAATTATGTACCCCCTCGTTCGTTAACATTAACGAAGCAAAAACGCGTTGACTCGCTCGCGGATGCGCGCCGCGCGCCGCGCGCGACTCGCGAGTATATATACGTATATCCTTGCCGGCGCGGCGCGGCGCGGCGCGGCACGCGTTTGCCGTCCTGCTCCTGCTAAACTCGACAGTAGCACCCAGAGCTATTACCCCCCTTTCTCTGTCTCTCTCTTTCTGCCGCGCGCGAGCCGTGCACCACCGTAGGCGACCCCACTCGATTCGCCCCTCAAAAAATCATTACGCCCTTCCACGGGCTGCGCATGAACGCGGTTTTAATTCGCTACTAGAAAAGTAAAATGTAAACGGTGGTGGGCTCGAGGGCCCCGTCAAGGGGCGGGTGGTGGTGGCTGGTGGCGGGTGGCGGGTGGCGGGTGGCGAGCTTCGGGAGGATGAGAAAAAGGCGGATAGAGAGCGAGAGAGTCGCGGGGGCGAGCGGAAACGGGAGCGGGAGCGGCACCGGCACATGGACTGGAGGAGGAGGAGGAGGAGGAGGAGATGGCGGCGGCGGCGGCGGCGACGGTACGAGGGGGGTGGGTGGGTGCCGGACGACGGGGTGGGAGACCAAGTTTCGCGGACGTGGTCGAGGACGAGGCGAGTGAGTGTACGAGGAATGAAGCGACTGCGAGAGCGCGACGTAGGACAGATCCTTTTTCCTCCGACTAGCGACTAGCAGGAGGAGGAATATGACGGCGCGGGAGAGGATGGGGCGCGGTAGAGAGATGGAGGGGTTCGAGGTGGAGGCGAGAGGAGGATATACTGCGCCCCTACTTCTCTAGGGGTTCCATTGTAATATTTATTGATTGGATTCCTAGGAGCCCAGGCTGTGAGGGCTGTGGCACCTATGCTTGGACTAGATTGCGTACGAGCGCTCGCGATGTTCCTCGATCGAGCCGCCACTTTTTCCATCACGCTTTTTCTTTCATCTCTTTTGCCTCCTTTTTTTTCGCGCGTTCACCTATCGACGTTCTCTCTCTTTCTCCCCTCCCCTCTCACCTCTCTATCTCTCTTTCTGTACATGTGTGCGTGTGTATATGTGTGTGTGTGTGTGTGCGCGTGTATGTGTGTGATCCACGTGGTCACAGATTTGCGTAAATGCCTGTAGCACATTCCGAACGAGCGGCACGTGTCGCGCGATTGCGACAAAAAAATCACGAGAGGCGAATTTTAATTACAGGATGAATAAGAATTGAGAAATTTCGAATTTAAATGATGCAATCGTCAAAGAGGAGGAATTGGTACCTTTCATGAAAATCTTGTTGATGAAAAATGAATGATTCGGAAAGAATGGCGGTTTAGATGAGTAACTATTCCTGATCCTATTATAAATTCCTATTATAAATTGCCGATGGCTGCGGAGAAATTAAATTATGTTAACGATTAATAATCTCAAAACGAAAAGACGGTTGCGATAGTTATAATTCCAAGTTTTATTTGTATTTGTGTTTTCGCAACAAAATATTTACGCAGATTTTACCCAAAACGAATTTCACGAGAAGAATTTAACTTGTCCTCGTTTCGCCCTAAAAGTTATTTCGGCGCATAGACTGATGCAAAATTGTCGACCCGTTTAGTAACATTCGATTTTAGCGAGCGAGCATCAAATCGCATATATGTATATTTAAGAATGCAAATTCGCCAGGGTCGTAACATTATCGTTTCTCAACGACGAAGTGCGAAACACGTATACATAGAACGTAGCAGGAACTTGCTTTCACTGGCCTTCCGTATACACATTTGATGGTTTCACATATACCATAGAACGACTAGTCCGATCACGTGACGCTGCCGCCTCGCTTGCAGGCTCGTGTCTGCATCAACGAGAAGCAGCAGGTGTCCAAAAGCAGAGGTGACCAAACCACGGGCGAGAAGGAATAAGAGAGAGAG